GCACATCTATAAACAAGAAGGCCATCAAGTAGACGACAGAAGGCACAATGCATATCCCATAGACAATTAACATGCTTCCAAATATTCCAAAGAGTCTCTTCTTCTTTGAGGCATACACACTCTCTCCTGCTATCACTGACTGAGCTTTGAAGTAGCTTCTAGTGAAACAAAAGGTCCAAAGAGAAGTGACAAACATTATTATGAGAACAATGACTGTTGAAACAATAGCAAAAATACTGCTACGATTGATGTTTATCGGTAACAAATAACACAAGTCAGGATCAATATCAGAGTGGAATGCAAGGAGATATATAATGTTAGATACAGCAACAAACAGCCAAATAATAATGGTGAGGGTCAGTGCTACCCAGGGCCTCATGAACCGCTTGTGAAGATGTGGTTTGACAATAAAGAGAAACCGATCAAATGATATAGCAGCTAGTGTCAAGAATATGGTCACTGCCATCCATGAAAATACAAACAGAAAAAAGTAACATGTCCCTCTCTTCTCCTCATCTGTACTACCAAAGATCCACTCACCAGCAGCTAATGCAATGATAGTGAAAGGAAGGTACAGTAGATTCAATACAAGATGTGCCAGTATGAGAGAAGTGAAGAATATTGTTGATGATTGTTTCCAGGACTTCCTTTCATAGAGTGTGATAGATAGTACCACACCATTAGCTATCAGAGCTAGTATCATCTCAAAAGTAAGAACTGCTGCTACTGCTGGACCACTGAACTCACCAGTAATAGTAAAATTGTTTTCCATCCCTATACAGTATCTTTATTTCTCCTTATCACTACAACACTTGCTTATACCGTAGGTTGGGATCTATTCCTGTCTGCAATTATTCGTGGTAATAAAAAAATCTAATTAAAAACCATACAAACTGTTAGAGTGTTGCTATAACAATAAGACCACGTGTTTAGTGTTCAGCTATTCATCTGTTCTTTAGCAGCTTTAGCGGAGCCATTCACCAATAGCAACTTGTCCTCTATTTGTTAACTTCTTGTATGGACTTCTACCTCAGAGCTCTTTCAGCCTATTTGCTGCAAATTGTTACAATAAACCACACCAAAGTCAATTAACACTAACTAGAATGGGTGGATACGGCGAGACAGTACATGTAGTTCCAAAAAAAACTGGTAAAAGCAGCTCCAAAGAGACCAAATGTTAGTAACACAATAAGGAAAACAGCTCAAGTGCATTGCAGCAAGTGCTTTGCTTCAATATCACACTGTTTTCAATTAAAATAACATATCAGTTTCCATTGTTTTTAATTGAATTTTTTTCCCACCACGAATAATTGCAGCCCCAAATATATCCCAACCTACGGTATCTAGAACATGGCACTATTATTTACTATTATAACAAATTAGCCACATTGATAGCAGGTACTACATACACATTAATTTTGCTGACTGTAATCTAATGAATGACAAAACACCTTACAGGGCCACTGCACTGAATTTTGGGGTATTTATTTTATGGTCTTAATATGATTGCCTGATCATAGTAATGAGTATGTTCCAACTTTCATTGTCTAAAATAATTTATTCACTGAGATATGAGCCTTCAAAAATGTTACTTCCTGTCGGTGGGTGTGGCTAAATGTGACATCACAACAGGCGGAAATGCAGATACCGTATTTTACTGTACTAACGCCTGGTCCAAATAAACGCCTGTCATTAATATATTCTAGAGTAGATACGCATATTTCTACCAAAAATAATGCCCAACTGTTTAGATAGCTCCAAAGTGCTTAAAAGTTAGAGCCTAGTCTTATTTGCTTGGAGTTGGGGGTTTGATTCCCGCTCAGGGTCACTTTTTAATTTTTTTTTAACGATTTTTTTCCTGCTAAGAAATAAACGCCTAGGCGTTTAATTGGTAAAATACGATAAACCATTCCTTTGTAGGGAAAATGATCCATTATTTTCATGCCCTGTAATGTAATAGCAGTAGTTTAAAAATTGGGATCATTAGCCTTCATTATTCTAAGCATGCAACTGCAAGAAAACAATTAAAAATAGCAAACAAGACAAATTACCTACTTGCGATATTTTGACTTTTCCTTGCAGTTGCATGCTTAGAATAATAAAAGCTAATGATCCCAATCTTTAACTATTGCTATTACATTACAGAGCATGAAAATAAAGGATCATTTCCCCTACAACAAAGGAATGGATTTATCTGCACTGAATTTCCACCTGTTGTGACGTCATGTTTAGCCACACCCACCGACAGGAAGTAACATTTTTGAAGGCTCATATCTCAGTGAATAAATTATTTTAGACAATGGGAGTTGGAACATATCATTATTATAATTAGGCAATCATATTAAGACCATAAAAAATATCTCAAAAATCAGTGCAGCGGACCTTTAAG